CTCTACTACTAACTGAAAGGTTGGTGGTTTGAACCCACCCAGAGGTCCTGGCAATCTGATCCCATAGAGATTACACTGAAGAAAACTCTGTGGATCAGTTCTATTCTGTAACACGGGGTCACCTTGAGTTAGAATCTAATTGACACAACGAGTTTCATAGATAGATGTCATACATATCTATCTATTATCTACATGATGTATGTTATATTTCCACCAAGTCAGAACACAAAGTAAATTGTGCCCACCCCCTGGAGCACAATCCCCAGACTGGAACCTTAACTCAGGCCCTTTTAAGGCTTAATAGAGGAAGAAAGGAAGAAGAATGATAGTTGCCTGGCATGTGCTCCATCTTTCATCATACAGATCTATTGCTTAGAAGTAACTGTTCAGACAGGAGCTACATTTTCCAGCCTTTCTTGAATGTAGGTGGGGGCCGTGTGACTATTTTCCACCCAAGGAGCATAAAAAGATGTTATGTGTGATACTTCAAGGTCAAGGAGGTTAAGAACTACAGTCCTTCTGCACCCTCTCTTCTCACATCTGCTACAGGAATGCAGGTGACTCCGGGACCCTTTTTGTTGTTAGTTGCCAACTAGTCTGTTGTGACTTATGGTGACCTTATGTATAACAAAACAATGCATTGCCCAGTTCTGCACTGTCTTCATGATTGTTGATATGTTTGAGTCATTGTTGCAGCCATAGTGTCACTCCAACTCAGTGATGGTTCCCTTTGTATTTGCTGACCCTCCTCTTTACCAACCACGATATCCTTTTCCAGTGATTGGTCTTTCCTGAGGATGTGTCCAAAGTAAGCAAGCCAAAGTCTTACCATTCTCTCTTCTAAGGAGCACTCTGGCTGTATTTCTTTTAAGGCCAGTTTGTTTGCTTTTTTGGCAGTCTATTGTATATTCAATATTCTTTGCTAATACCACAGTTTGAACACATCAATTCTTTTTTCATCTTGCTTTTTCACTAGCCAGTATTCTAGAGGACTACAAAGTCACAAGACAGAAGGAAACTAGTCCCTGAAACACCAGGAATGGGGACGATGACAAAGAAACTGGAATAAACGTGAGTGAGAAAAAAACTTGCATTGTATCCAGCTGCTGAAAGTTTGAGGTTACCTAACTGATACACTTGGAAATACCCTATGCTTCTCTGCAAAAAAAAGTCCCATCTTTCCCCAGCTCATGGTGCGGGTTTTCACATGTTGTCAATGGGCATATCAGTTTTCAAGATGGCTTGGCCAGTCCCGTGAGCACCATGCCATCTGGAATGGCCTTGGTACTGCCTCAGACAACCCACTGTAGCTCACATCTACCCTATGCCTACTCATAAACAGATCCTTTCTAGTCTCTAAGTGGAGTTATGAAAGGATGTCAATCAAATGAATGAAGAAGTTTATTTGGTCACTGGTCCACTGAAATTTCCCAGTATGGCCTAAAAGCTATCTCTGAGAGTTCCTCCCATGGAGTATTCCATGGGATGCAGATTTAAAGTTAAATATCCCTGGAAACATCAGTTCTCAGAGAGGGTTTTGTGAGAAAAATGATCCTTGAGATGTTAATAAATGTTGGGGGGAGGAAGTTTTGTAATGAATAAATAAATAAATTTCTCCATACAAATAAATTTGTGAAACAATGTATTATCCCATCTCTCAAAGAATGACAGTGCGCCTTAGCCTACAAAAATTTTGGGAAGTCGTGCAGTAAAGACACCTAGTTAGATTTAACTCTATTCCCCAAATTTGACTAACTGATTCCTTTTTTAAAAATACTAATTAATAGCTATTTCTATGGAACATAGTTGAGAAAACACTTTCTCTCTGAGACCTTCACAGTTATCAACTACTTGAAATGTTGGCACAGTTAGCCATGGTAAATTTGAGATATTCCATTGTCATACAAAAAAAGTTATGTAAGCTATGAACAGGTCAAACCTTTTTCTTTAAAAAAAAAAAAAGAGTAACCAGGAAATTGGAACTACGAAAGCAATTCTACCAAATGAGAGATGGCTACTAGGATGGTATCTAAAGAAACAACAAAGAAAAAAATGAAGACTAAGAAGTGACATTAAGTCCACATCCTATTTGCATGTCTCTGATAGCAACAAACTAAGGGAAGAGGTGGGTACTTAGAAAATAACTAATTTTACTTTGTAAAGGAAGTTTATGTTTCTCCTAATTTATGTAAAAAGTATTATTTGTTTTGGACATATAATAACATCGAATTTAAGGTTTTAACAAATTTATATTAAAGTATCAAAACTTTCTTTGGTGTGTTGAATTACTTACAGAATTCTTTCTTTCTTTTTTTAATTTTCACACCAAAAAAAAATTAGGATATTCTAATTTGATATAATTTGGACATTTCACTTACATAAAACCAAGCATTTTGTCACAGATAATTTTAAAATTAGGAACTAATCTCACATAATTAAAGATTAAAGATTTAAATTATTAATGCCAGGCATCCTCAGCAATGATTTTAAAAAAACTATTATATTTTTAAATGAGCTAGGATTTTGCCTCTGAAGTCGTTTAATTTTTCAAGAATCATTTGAAACTGAAGAAAATATGTTCTTTTCATTTATCAAGACTATCTTTGATCATCAAAGAAAAATACAAAGTATGAGCACTTCTTGGCTATCTGTAGCAATGTCTGCTTTCATAAGACCATAAAAAATCTTTAAAAAATATTACTTACTCAATGAGTTTTAAGATTGCCCTCAGATCCATTGATGTTGAGGACTCTCCCAGGCTAGATCTAACTCTATTTCTTTTCTATTTTTGTTTCCAACAATTTCTACATGTATAATTCAGTGACATTGATTACATTCTTCAAGTCGTGCAACAATTCTCCCTATCCTCACTATCCAAATTCTCACTATCCAAATTATTCCACCACCATTAACATAAACTCAATGCCTCTTAAGCAAAAACTCTTCCTTTCCCACTCCTTCCTACTCCTGGTAACCACTAATAATCTTTGGTCTGTATATATTTGCTTATTTCATATAAGTGAAGTCAGTATTTGTTCTTTTGCTACTAACTTATTTCTCTCAGCATTATGTTTTCAAGGTTCATCCATGTTGTGGTATGCAACAGGACTTCATTAATCTTTATAGCTGAGTAATATTCCATTGTATGTATATACTACATTTTGTTTAGCCATTCGTCTGTTGATGTACATTTCAGATGTTTCCATAATTTGGCTATTGTGAAAATTGCTGCAATGAACATCATATACAGGTTTCTTTTTGCTTTCTTGCTTTCACTTCTGAGTATATGCCTAGGATTGGACTTGCTGGATCATATGGTAGTCCTATGTTCAACTTTTTGAGAAACTACCAAACTGTTTTCCATGGTGGCTGTACCATTTTACATTTCCATCAGCAATGGATGAGTGTTCTGGTTTCTCTACAAATTCACCAACACCTGTGGTTTTCCATTTTTTTGATCATTGCCATTCTAATGCAGGGGAGGTGGTATCTCCTTGTGGTTTTGATTTGCATCTCCCTAATGGCTAATGACATTAAGCATTTTCTCATGTGCTTCTTGGCCATTTGAACATCCTTTTTGGTAAAATGTCTGTTCAAGTACTTTATTTTTTGTTGGGTTGTTTGACTTTTTGTTGTCAAGTTGTAGTTTTTTATACATTTTGGGTACTAGACTCTTATCAGATATATGGTTCCCCAACATTTTCTTCTAATCTGTAGGTTATCTTTTCCCTTTGTTATAAAGTCCTTTGATGAACAAAAGTATTCTCTATTTTTAGTGGAGGTTTTGGGTTGATAAAATGTCTGGGCATTAGAAGTAATGTGGGAAATGGAGAGCCGGGCTAATTTGCAAATGAGTACTTGTGCTTAACATGGATGATGTAGTCTGCCTATGATTCCATTCATTCAGTCATGTTCATGTACGCCAAAAAAATAAAAATAAGTGAAAAGTTAGACTTGACTCATCAAAGCACTAGGGTTGAAGCTGCCAAGATGTAAGTTAAAGGTTTCATTGCTCTTCTCTGATAATGGCTTTCAGCTTTAGGACAGTGAAATTAAAAACTAACAACATTAAAACTTACTGGTCTTTGTCCAGCACACAGAAGGAATCCAAGAAGGGAAAGTTGGCAGCTATACTTTCAAAGTCCTCTTGGGAGATGTACCCATCATGGTCATGATCATAGTTTCTAAACACAGACTGCAGATGAAAGAGAAATATTTATCAAATGACTATTTATGAGCCATGCTCTAAACTTGTTATTGTGAAAGCATTGGTGACTAGTGAATTATCTCTTCTATGAAGGAGCTTAGAATTTAGTGAAAGATAACTAAAACAAGAAGCCTTTATAGGATAACAAGATGAGTGCTTTGCTGGGGATAGAAACAGAGCACTATAGTGGGGAGGAAAAGAAGGAGGTTGACAAAGTCTTTCTGGACAAAACAAGGTCTAAACTGAGACCTAAAGGTTAAGTAGGAGTTAGGCTTAGTGACTTCACAAATCTGAATACTATGACAATAGAAAATGAAGCTTTAAAATGTTAAATTATCTCAGAAATTAGAGTACATATTTAATACAATTTCAATCAAATTCTCAGTAGGAACTTGTTTTAAATGAACAACTTGATTCTAAAGTTCAAGTAGAAGTGAATATGTTAAGAATAGCGGAAAAATTGTTTAAAATCAGGAGTAAAGAGGGGGAATATGCCTTATCCAAAATCGAATATTCTACAAAGCTACCTTAACCAAAACAATGTGGTATTGTAACTAACCACAGAGAGTGGCGTCCAGAAACAGACCCACATATACATGGGAATTTAGTATACCAAAAAGTATTGTTTCCAATCCACAGGTATATCATGTATTATCCAATAATTGGTGTTAACTGGCTAATAATTCTATAAAATAAATTGTTCCAAATTAAATTCCAGGTACGTTAAATATTTTTATTAAAAAATACTATTATTGTGTGCATCAAGTTGATTCTGATTCATAGTGACCCTACATGACATAGTAGAACTGCTTTCCATAGAGTTTCTTAGGTTGTAATCTTTATTGAAGCAGATCATCAGGACTTTTTTCCTGAGGAGCCACTGGTGGGTTTGAACCACCAGCCTTTCAGTTAGCAGCCATGTGCTTAACCATTGCACCACCAGGGCTCCTTATATAAAAAATAAAGCTATGAAAACACCAAAGGTAAAAAGATGAAACTATTTTTCATGTTTAAAATGTTTGAGTGGGAAAGAGACCTTTCTTAGCATATTATCAAAGTCTGAAGACACAAAGAAAAATGTTCTATTACGATAAAATACAAAATATTTTAATTAAAAAGTTAAATTACAAATAGAGAAAATTATTTGCAATATATGTGAGAGATAAGACACAAAGGTAACATAGGCAACCACCAAAGAAAACATACAAATGGCAAATACACTCATCGAAAGGTGCTCACCTCTGCAAATACTTACCTCTTAGATTGGAAAATATTAAAATGATTGATAATTTCCTAGGGTATGAGGAAACAGGCACTGTTATATGAAGTTGGTGGAGAAGCAAATAATTACAAGCTCTCTGGGGGACAATCAGGCAATGTATAGCAAACTTTAAGTGCCTACTCTCTGATATTAGCAATTCCACTTCTAGGAATTTGTTCTAACAAAGTAACTGAACAAGGTTGCTCGAATATATATATTCAAAGATAATCTACAAGGGGTTAAAGTGCTTGGCTGCTAACCGAAAGATCAGCGGTTCAAACCCACCAGCTGCTCCATGGGAGAAAGATGTGGCAATTGGCTTCTGTAAAGATTATAGCCTTGGAAACCCGTGGGACTGTTCTACTCTGTTCTATAGGGTTGCTATGAGTCAGAAACGACTTGATGACAGCAACAGGTATCCATGGAGAGTGGAATTAAAAGGCTTGAAAATGGAGCATTCTATTTTCTGTAGTATTTGAATATTTACAATGTCATCCTTTATAGTCAGAGAAAAATAAAAAAGATTTTTCCATTGCCCCTACTAAGTGGGATTTTTAAAAGAGGTCTCTAAGTTCTTTCTGTAAACACATGTTTGCAACGTATAGTTGACTTGGATTCCAGTTATACTTAATCTTTCTCCCTTTTCCCAATGCTTTCCGTCTATTTTATTTTAACTACATTACCTTCTGTTGCATGCTGAATGAAGAGTATTTTGGAAGTGGTTAAGGTAAGTGAATTATTTGATTAAAAATGACTGTTCAGCACCCAGTGCAAGTTTATACAGATAATCTAATTGTGCAAAATCAAAAAGCATTATTATTATTATTACTGGCAAGTCCTAAAATCAATATTTGTAGTCTCCTTGGGTGGTATAGTTAATGTAGTTGGCTGATAACCAAAAGTTTAGAGGTTCAAGTCCACCCAGAGCCACCTCAAAAGAAAGGCTTGGTGATCTTTTTTTTTTTTTTTAATTGCACTTTAGATGAAGGTATACAGAGCAAATTAGTTTCTCATTAAACAATTAATACACATATTGTTTTGTGACATTGGTTGCCAACCCTATAAATGTCAACACTCTCCCCTTCTCGACCTTACATTCCGTATTAGCAGCTTTCCTGTCCCCTCCTGCCTTCTCGTCCTTGCCCCTAAGCTGGTGTGCCCTTTTAAACTGGTTTTGTTTTATGGGTCTGTCTAATCTTTGGCTGAAGGGTGAACCTCAAGAGTGACTGCAGTACTGAGTTAAAAGGGTATCCGGGGGCCATAGTCTTGGGGTTTCTCCAGTCTCTGTCAGACCAGTAAGTCAGGTCTCTTTTTATAAGGTAGAATTTTGTTCTACTTTTTTCTCCAGCTCTGTCTGGGACCCTCTATTGTGATCACTGTCAGAGCAGTTGGTGGTTGTAGCCGGGCACTATCTAGTTGTGCTAGACTCAATCTGGTAGAGGCTGTGGTACTGGTAGGCCATTAGTCCTTTGGACTAATCTTTCCCTTGTGTCTTTGGTTTTCTTCATTCTGCCTTGCTCCAGACAGGGTGGGACCAATGGAGTATCTTGGATGGCCGCTTACAAGCTTTTAAGACCCCCGAATGTCACTCACCAAAGTAGGATGTAGAATATTTTCTTTATAAACTATGTTATGCCAATTGAGCTAGATGTCCTCTGAGAGCACAGTCCCCAGCCCTCAGCCTAGTAATTCGGTCTCTCAGGGACTTTGGATGTGTCTATGAAGCTTCCATGACATTGCCTTGGTCACGTTCAGTATAGTGTACAGTCTTACACTTCACCAAAGTTACCACTTACCTATTTTATATTTAGTGTTCTTCATTCTGTTCCATTGGTCAATGTGTCTGTCATTGTACCAGTACCAGGCTGTTTTGACTATCGTAGCTATATAGTAGGTTCTGAAGTCAGGTAGTGAGAGTCCTCCTACTTCATTCTTTTTCTTCAGTAGTGCTTTACTTATCCAGGGCCCCTTTACCTTCCGTGTAAAGTTAATGATTAGTTTTTCCCTCTTGTTAAAGAATGCTGTTGGTATTTGAATCGAGATTGCATTGTATTTGTAGATTGCTTTGGGTAGAAGTGACATTTTCTCAATGTTGAGTCTACCAATCCATGAGGATGGTATATTTTTCCAGTTATGTAGGCCTTGTTTGGATTCTTGCAGTGGTGTTTTGTAGTTTTCTTTGCATAGGTCTTTTACGTCCCTGGTTAGATTTATTCTTTTTTTTTTTTTAGGGGCTATTATAAATGATATTGCTTTCCAGATTTGCTTTTCATAATTCTCTTTATTGGAGTATAGGAATCAAACTGATTTTTGTATGTTTATCTTGTATCCTGCTGCTCTGCCAAATCTTTTTATTAGTTCCAGTAATTTTCTTGTGGAGCCCTTTGTGTTCTCTATGTATAGTATCATATTATTGGCAAATAGGGATAGTTTTATTTCTTCCTTACCTATTTGGATGTCCTTTATTTCTTTTTCTTGCCTTGTTGCTCTAGCTAGGACTTCCAGCACAATGTTAAGTAGGAGTGGTGATAAAGGGCATCCTTGTCTTGTTCCTGTTCTCAAGGGGAGTGTTTTCAGCCTCTCTCCATTAAGAATGATGTTGGCTATTGGTTTTGTGTAGATCTCCTTTATTATGTTGAGGAATTTCCCTTCTATTCCTATTTTATTGAGAGTTTTTATCATGAATGGGTGTTGGACTTTATCAAATGCCTTTTCTGCGTCAATTGAGATGATCATCTGATTCTTTTATTTTGTTTTATTTATGTGGTGGATTACGTTGATTGATTTTCTCATGTTGAAGCATCCATTCTTGCACACCTGGTATGAATCCCACTTGGTTCTGGTGTTTTTTTTTTTTTTTTTTTTTTAATCATGCTGAATTCTACTGGCTAGAGTTTTGTTGAGAATTTTTGCATCTATATTCATGAGAGATATCGGTCTATAACTTTCTTTTTTTGTGGTGTCTTTGTCTGGTTTTTTATCAGGGTCATGCTGGCTTCAGAGAATGAATTCCAAAGCATCTCTTCTTTTTCTATGTTCTAAAATAGTTTGAGTAGTACTGGTGCAAGCTCTTCTCTGAATATTTGGTAGAATTCACTAGTGAAGCCATCCGGACCACGGCTTTTTGTTGTTGTTGGCAGGTTTTTTTAAATTACCTTTTCAATCTCTTCTCTTGTTTTGGTTCTGTTCAAATTTTTGACCTCAGTTTGTGTTAGTTTAGGCAGGTGGTGTTCTTTGAGAAATTTGTCCACTTCCTCTAGGTTTTCAAATTTTTTGGAGTATAATTTTTCATAGTACTCTTTTATGATTCTTTTTATTTCAGTTGGGTCTGTTGTAATGTCCTCCATTTCATTTCTTATTTGGGATATTTGCATCATCTCTTGTTTTTCTTTTGTCAGTCTGGCCAGTGGTTTGTCGATTTTGTTGATCCTTTCAAAGAACCAACTTTTGATTTTATTGATTATTTCTATTGTTTTTCTGTTCTCTATTTCGTTTATTTCTGTTCTGACCTTTATTATTTCCTTTTTTCTGGTGGCTGTGGGATTCTTTTGCTGTTCTCTTCTATTTTTTCAAGTTGTGTAGCTAATGTTTTGATTTTGCCCCTTCCTTCTTTTTTGATGTGTGTATTTATTACTATAAATTGACCTCTGAGCACTGCCTTTGCTATGTCCCAGAGGTTTTGGTATGATGTGTTTTCATTCTCATTTGATTCGAGGAATTTTTTTGT